TTTTACTATAAATATGTATTTTTATACTTTTATAGTGTTTTGACCCCAATTTGGAGGTTAACTATTTACCCATAGCTGGGACCCTAACAGGTGCTACAATCCTGGGTGAAGATGGACCTGGGAACAATAGCAACTATGAAAAAAAATTTTATAAATTTTAACAAAAGTAGCACAAGCTGCTTGGTCAATTAATGTTGAACGTTTCCTTATAATGAAACTGCTAATATCACAGTCACCATTAACTATTGTTGCACTATTTTTTAATATTGAGCACATTATTTGCAAAAAACTCTTCACCTTGAATATGTTAGCCTCCAATAATTTACTGGTCAACATGATTTGTTTGGCTAATCTAATATGTTGTTATTGTTATTATTAAATTTATGAAAATTAATATTTTTCATCTAAATCATTTTAAGTAACTGTACAAAATTACCTTTTTAAAACTAGAATTCACCCCCAAATGTATCTCAGCCTGTAATTTGCAAATTTTTAAAAGTAGATGAAATGACTTCTGAATCTGTCCCATAGCTTTTGTCAATAATTCTGGATATTTTTGTGGCATTTGGCAATGATACCTGCTTCTTCCACAAACTTTAATCAAAGGAAAATATTGATTTGGGCTAAACTAAGCCAGCAAAAGAATCAATAAAATTGTGGCGAGAAGGTCTAGAATTATTATGAGGGTATAGATGGAGTGTCAGTTAAAGAGACAATTGGTAAAGTAATTAAAACAACAAATACTGCATTAAAAAAAAACAATAATTTCATTTAATAGTATAGGAAATGATGCAATTTCCCCGTCAAGGAAGGTTCGAAAAAAAATCAGATCAACTTTGGCACAATTCTTAATATATAAAAAATGCCTACACATATTTTCAAAAAAATAAAACACTCGACCACATTTTTTGACCAATTGGGTGTACAAAAAATACACAGTCACTTCATAGGAAATTTGTGGAGCTAACACACATGTGAATGAGCCCATTAGATCAATATAAAAATGACAATATTTTCAAACTACCTCAGAACAATTTACATGCCCAGCAAGATAGATACAACTGTGTCTCACTGCAACCCACTCTTTTGACTGCTGAACAAACAGTATCAGATTACAACTCTCAACTTGGTGATAATGCTTTTAACACCACATGCCCACTGATACTTCTCTACAACTCACAGAGACTTTAAAAAAAAGAAAACAAGACACAAACGATTCAATTTTGTTTTCAGATTTTTCCACAAGTTCTTGTGTTGTAAAAAGAAAATAAATAAAAAACTTCTTTATTTTGTAGCACTCATGTTAATCATTTTTTATTAGCATTAGTACTCAACAAATAGATATATGTTTTTTATGATAGTCCTTTCTCTTTATGCAAGAGATAACGATGTCCAAAATTTTGATATGAAACAAAGAAAATATATGTGTAACAGATGGGAACTTAAAAGAAAGTTTTATTCTCCCATTTGTATTTCCCCCATTATGGGCATTATTATATCCATGATATAATAACAACATAGTTTACATACAGAATAGAATAGCTGAAAGGAAAATAATGGCAAATATGTTTTGTTTGCGAGAGAGTTTTATACTACTAAGACATAAACAATAGTATGTATATATATATATATATATATATATATATATATATATATATACACATGTTCCATGCAGAGAGAAATATATCACATACATCTATATGGCAAAGCAGAGTGTAAGGAGAAACATAAAGGGCAGGCCTAAAATATAATATGGAAATACTGCTGTATCTGAAAAAGCCATGTTTACAACTTCAGATTCAAATGGGCTGGATTCATCTATGTCCTAGGTGAGGCCATATTCCATGAACAGCAAACAGCAAGTCCTGGATTTTCCCAAACTGAGGACTGTGAGCTGGAGTTTCTTTCGATATCTGGGAAAGATATATTTCCAAAAGGAAATGGCACCATAGACTTGTAAGCTGCTGGAGAGGCAGATTTATCCTCTGTTTGGGCTATGGGAGGCCCTGGCTAAAGAAAGAAACCTTTCTGTTTGGTTGCTGTAAACAAAACTCTGGGTGGATTAAGCAACTGCCACATGAAACATGTGACTTATTTCTACCAAAGAGACATGAGTGACTTCTATCTCCCTACATATACATTGTATTTGCTATATTTATAGAGCCTTTATAGATATAAACAGTGTGAGCATGACTGTCAGTTTCACAACTTAAGCAATCATCAGACCATCTGATGTGGGAAGAGACAACTCAACACCACCAACTCTGCACTGCTGACTGAGCATCGGGACAACTCAGGACCGAGACAATGCAGCACCAGAAAACATAACTTTTTAATAACAATATAAAAGTAATTTATTAAGGATTAAAACTTTAATTAGTGATTATTTTTTTCAAATAAAGAAATTTGTAAAGGCATTAAGTAAAATATGAACCAGTTTTCTTGATTTTAATTATTTTTAATAAAATAAATTATAAAAAAATATTTTTAATAAAGTAAATTGAGATTTAAAAAATAATTCAATTAAACACACTTCTCAGCCCATTTCAGGAAATAAACATGGGAAGAATGTCTGCACAAACATCATCAAACCAATCTTCAGAAATGCCAACATACAGATTGACTATTCCAGGAAAGTACGAAAATTCAAAGAAATATCTCCTGAAAGAGGATGGAGAGTACAATGGCTGAAACATTGTGAATGTGAAAATAAAGATGAGGACAACAGTCCAAATGAGGTAAATAGTGTAAATAGCTCATTTTAGAAATACAGATAGATATATTTATCATGTGGTTACAAATATTTTTTAAGTAATGCCAGATTAAGTTCCCAGATTTTAAGTGGAACCTAAATAGATTAAGTAATTTTTTTATCATTTTGGACTATGACAGTTAACAGATAAAACTCTGACAGTGAAGCCAAATAAAGAAAAAAGATAAAGTAATGTAGATGTATATAAATATGCTTGTAAAACTTGTATTGCAAAGTGTCTCATGGTTACGGAAGAGATGACAAAGAAAGTGAAAGGTTCAAAAAACATAGGTATGGAGAAGAAGGATGGAAGGTATTCTGATATTTACCAAAATACACAAATACATACATGCTGCATACACATACATAAATATGTGCATAATTTTTTTTATATGTGTATGTATTTGTATGACAGCCTGGGTATGACGATAAACTACATCCAGCAGCAAGGCTTCTGATCAGGAAGTTTTGAGGAGCATGGAATCATCTCTTAATTGCTGTTGTTCCCAGGTCCAATCTATCCTGGGGTGATAGCACTTGTTAGGGTCTCAGCTATGGGTAAATAATTAACCCACAATCTGGAATCAAAATACTATGAAAGTATAAACATTTTTATAGCAAAAATATCTACAATGCATTATCATAGTAAAAAAATTACCGGCAATATGTTTTTGTAAAAAAGATTTTTTTTAAAATTACCAGCCATTCATTTTTGTAAAAGAAATTAACACATTAAATGGCCCATAAAGATTTGATATGCCACTAAAATAAATGAAATACTTGCATGAACCCAAAATTTTGATTGATGTAGGGATCATTGTAGTCTTTATCCAGTCTTGGATATTGATGTTTCCAGTCCAAATCTTGAATAATACAGCCATCTTGTATTCCATCATCATAATCATCATCGTCGTCATCATCATCATCATCATCAGCAGCAGCAGCAGCAGCAGCAGCAGCAAAAACAATATTATTATTATTATTAATAATAATAATGCTTATACTGTAAAGTGAGATCCTTATATATTTTTGGTTTTAACTTCAGGTCAGCGATAACTGGTCAATAGTCCAGCATCATGATTGTAATACAAATTAGCTGGCAGTGGCACCCATTTTTATTAACCATTCACTCCAAATCATCCAATCATCAAAGAGAACAGAACTCACACCAACTCTCATACTGAAAGAGCAGTAATTAGTCAAAAATTATAATAGTTTAGAGAAGTAGCAAAACAGATACTACACATTGATCCCAGCTCAAAAGACAGCTTTATCTCTAGCAGTAAAAGTAAAACTAATGCAGTTAATAAGGCGAGAAGCCTCTATACCATTTTTTAACTACAGCCAAACTATAATTGGCCAGTGACTCAGCACCACAATTACCATGAAAATTAGTAAGCACTGCCATCTACCTTGAGTAACCATTGACTCTGAATATACAACCATCAAAGAGAGAATAACTCACATCAAATCTTACCTTTAAAAAGAGCATTAATTAATTAACAATAAATGTTTTGAACAATCCAGAAGCACATTTAAATGCAAAAAAATTTTGAACATTTTGTGGCACAAACTCTTCAACCTGACTTCATTTAGTCTTTGATTAATTTTTTCTTCACAATGATGACATAGAAAAATGTTTCGTTGCAAATTTTAATCCATGAAATATCAGTGTTAAATCTCAACTTGCAGTTGCTACATTATATCGAGATGTTTTTTTTTGTATCTAAATAAACATGCTGGAGATTAGGTAATTGCATTTGTAGGTGTTGATCTCTGGAATGTTAGCATTAAGTAAATGTCTGCCTACAGCAAATAGACATTCACACACAGCCTTACAAGAAATGGCAATCAATGTAAAAAAGATTTGAACAAACATACCACAGGAAGATAACCAAACAGAAACTAAAAAAAAAAAAAGAAGAAAAACTGAATCCAAAATTAAAACAAAAAACAAAAAAGTTCAAGAAATCTATTCTTGAAGAGTTAACGACACTGCCAATCAACTAAGAATGTTAAAAATGGCTTTTTTCTTTGGAATTGATGGATTCTTTGTGGCTGTTATCAGACCATATGCACAAACAATGTATACCATTTTTTTCCCATTTACACATTTAGATGCATAAATATAGGTTCACATACATAATTAAATTTCTGCGGAATCGGGAAATTCTGGTACTGTGTTGCCAGAACAAAAATGCAAAATCAAATATGCTTATAACTATTCTTAGAAATTCAAGACTTAAACTATACCATGTTGAAACACCAGTTCCCATATGATCACTGAAATTAAGCAATATTGAGCCTGGTCAATATCTAGATGGGTGACCTCTTGGGAATACCAGGTGTTGTAAGCTTTGATGTATGGGTGTTGCAATGGATAATGGCATGGAATTGTTAATCAGAGAACTGAATTCCAATTCAAGTTGGATTCATTTTATTCACTTATCACTTATGCACAAATACCTTTGGGAAAGATATGAATTCACCTCTTCTCCCCACAGATATTTGTTAATTAGTAAAGCTTGTATCTCTAAACCTGTATCTTCAAAAAAAATTCTTACAATCTAAAAATATTTTCTGTCTTTAAATAACCTGCAAAGGGTTGATAAACTAAAAAAGAATCAATCACTCAATGAAATACTGATTATCTATACAGGCATGTTTTTTAGATTTATTTACATTATCTGGAATATAAATGTAGAGAAACTACCATGGCCACAAAGTGAGGGTTCAGTTTATATATTGTTTGTAATATAGAATTAATTCCGACTTTATATCCACATTATAATTTCTTGTTTGTTTATCAAATTTGGATTTGGTATGAATACATCTATTTTCTCACAAGCTATGGATTAATTAATAAGAGTTGTATCACTAAAATAATTATTATCTCTAAAATAAAAATTCTTACAATCTAAAAATATTTTCTGGCTTTAAATAAGCTGCAAAGAGTCAATAAACTGTAAAAAATTAATCAATCAATAGAAATTTTTTTCAATGGAATTGACTTGACTTGTATTGGTTTTCACCCTGGTCGGGTTGAACCGGCTTCCTCCCGAGCAAGTACAGCATCACGGACCATCATTGCCCATACTTGCCGATCCTGAGCCAGGTCACACAAAATGGTGAGCCAATCGCAATTCCATCATCGAAGACCAACTATTTATGGACTCAATAATACTGCTAGGTCATCCTTGATTGTGCTAGCCCACATCCTCAGCTGCCCACCGACATGTTTTCGCCAGCCAAGAAGCGAAAGAGGGAGAAGTACATCGCGGATGAGCTCTCCCTCCAGGCGTTGAGCTGCGTGCCCAAACCATCTGAGATGACACTGGAGCAGGACGGGTGGAAGAGGACAGAGACTCAGGTGATGACGTAGAGTGGCCGTGGGCACACGATCGATTCGGAAGCATCGTAGAATGCAGCGAAGGTGATCGTTGTCAAACACTTCAAGCCTTCGTAGGTCAACCACTCTAAGTGGCCACATTTCACAGCCATAGAGAAGGATCGTCTGAACAATAGCCTGATAGATATGCCCCTTCGTAGCCGTGGAAATCTCCCATTGCCCCATAGTGATCGCTTGGGATGCATGAATGCAGACTTTGCAGCTCCTATACGACGTTCAACCTCAGCAGCAGCCTGCCTGGATGGTATAATGGTTGAACCGAGATAGACGAAAGACTGCATGTCCTCCAGATTGACCCTGTCCAGCATCAGTTGCTGCCAGTTGACTGGATCAACCAGGGATTGCATAATTTTGATCTTCGAGGCATTGATGGTCATACCCACATCCCGTGCTAATGGAATTATTAAAGTTTGATTCAATATTGGGACACCCAGAATTGATGGTGACATTGAAAGAGATATTCAAAAATATATATTAGTAGATACAAACCTATAAGATTATGCACTGAAAATATACTGCCTTTGAAAACAGGTTGCAAAAACATTTATTAACATAATGAAATCAAGATTTTCATTTGAAATTCAGATTTACATGGAATTATTTTGATCTTCAATTACAAAATAGGCTCAGTTTTGAAAGAGAATAATTTTCTTTTCAAGATGCAAATTAGATTTGTCTACTAATGCCTTAATTTAATATATGCCATCATCAAACCATATTAATTTATATACTTCCTGTCCCATCTGTAGTGAGGAGGGAGATTTAAGTTAATCAATTTAAGTTAAAAATTTATGAATGCAAATTTTTTGTTGAGATATAATAATGTGGATATGTGTAATAGAATTAGAAATTGAGATTCAGTTTGAAAAAGATATTTTCAAAATTATACAGTAAACAAAAATAGATTTGTACACAAAGAGAATTAAGCAGAAAACCCTCAAAGTGTATTTACACCTAACTATACCTTTAAGCAGCAGCCATTGTCTAACTAATGCTGCCCATCAAGTAAAATTAATGCCTGTTCAGTCGTTGTTGGCTGCTAAACTTGGTAGAGAACAATCATTATCACAGTTAAATTACAGATATCCTAGAATATGATAATTTTCCACCTTGCTCTCTCTCACATGTAATCTAACAGCTAAGGTGTCAGTGATATATGAAAGGAAATCTCCATTGTTGTCTACAGATTGAAAATTATATAATTTTAAACAAACTGCTTAAAATAATCATTATTATCATCATGACCAACCATTACAAGTCTATTGCTAGACAAATACATTTCCTGAAAACTGCAAACACTTTTAAATCAGGAATGTTGTAAAGGAAAGCAAGAAGAAAATACAAGTCATCAATTTTCAGAAGACAGATGGTATGGTCCAAGGAGGATAGTCTAAGATACAAGATACAAACTGGAGATACCAAAATCAAGAAATTAGAGATTATTAACTATCTAGGAAATGTTATAATAGATCAGAAAATGTGACACAGAAATACAAAAGTGCATTGGAATAGATTGATTGATTTGTCTAATGGCATAGCATCTCCTTATGGGTCATGCTGAAATTCAATTTTCTTCAGATCTTTAAAATAAAAACAATATGATCTACATCTTTGTGCAAATTAATTGAAACAAAACAAATAATTCCATTATTATTTATTTTTTTTGTATTTTTCCAATAAAATATGACCCAGAGCACATATTAGTAATTCATATGCCCATTCCAAGAATTTGTTCCTTGCAGATTGACCACAGTGGATTTAAATCAGGAGAGTTTCCAGATAATTCTATAGTACTTTGATTTGCTCACTGATAAGACTTGTCAGTATGTTCATGCAGCATTATAATTTTTGTATGCTTCCTTGGAGTAACATCTATCACAAACAATGGTCATAGGACAACTAATCGATAGTCGAGACAATAGTGTCTGGTTGTGATAAAAATCTGATGCAATCACAAATGATGCAATATTTTTCAAGGCCAAACAAATTTCATCATACACCCTGAAAATAGATTCATATTACTGCACACCACTGCAAATGACCTAATCTGAGGAAAAAATAGAAATCAATTGCACCCTGTCACTCCAGAGGGTTTAAAACTGAACGTATGGTGAACAAAAGGAAACTAAAGTGGTCGTTTCAATTAATTTGCACAGGGGAATATGTTATTTTACTTTCACAGTTGAACACATGGTAGCATATTGGTTGGTTGATTGATTTTCTTTAGCAGCATATCAACACCTCTATGGGTAATTTAATGTGGAAATCTAAATATTTTTAAGACAATTTTATGGCTTCAGATACAAATAAAATGTATTGCTGGCCATTTTGCTTTAAAAATATTTTGCTGGTCATTTTATTATAAATATGTATTGTTGGTAATTTTTTTATATAAAAATGTATTACTGGTATTTTTAATTATAAAAATGTATTTTTATATGTTAATAGTGTTTTGTTTTTGTTTGGGGGCCCACTCTTTTCCCATAACTGGGACCCTAACTGGTGTTACTACCTGGGAATAACAGCAATCAAGAGTGGTTCCAGGCTCCTCAAAACCTTCAATCTCCCAATCAGAAGCCTTGCTGCCAGATATAGTTCATTGTCTTACCCAGAACTATTAGAATATGGAAAAAATGCCTTCCAAAATCTAAACAAAACTTTAAGAAATTGGAAAATTTCATTTGAAACAAAGATAAAAGTACTCAACTCTTATGTAATATCAAACTTTCTATATGTCAGTGACAATTTCCTCACAGATGAAGAAGAGACTTGAAGAACGGAGATTCGTTTCTTCAGAAGGATGCTGAGAATACCATGAACAGAGCATGTGATCAGTGAGGAAGTTTTAAAGATATTTCTGAAACATATAATGAGGAAATAAGGTTTAGAAAATTTGACATACACAGGATATATTGAAAACAAGATGCGCAGTGGAAGACAGTATGTAACCTATCTAATTAGCAAACATTGCTAAAATCTACAAAGGAGAGAAAGTTGTGGAGAGCTATAATTGCTAACATTCTAAAGGTGCACATCACATAAAAGACAATGATACAATTGTGCTATTCTCTGTGATGTACCCCTAACAAGCCTACGTTCCATATTCTGTATGATCTTGTCCTATCCTTTGGGCACCAATTAACCAACCTTTGGCTCCATCTGTTATTCTTTCTACTTGCTATGTCTCCTGCACACATTCATTTTTGTTATTTAATCTAGAATATTTCATTATAATCTATCTTTCATAGAATATAGAATGGGCCGTGGCAGGGGTAGTTTTGCCCAATACCACAAATTGCTACAAAACTGAAAAATAACCTGAAAACTCAAGCCATGTATTTAAATAGCTTCATCAGATTGATACTTTCATAGTGATGTCATGCCTGGTGTGACACTTACTTAGAAATATCTAAACTGACTTCTCCTGTTATCCTCTACCTTTACAAGAGTCAGATCAAGGCAAAAATGGAGTAGTGTTGCCAGAGCTGCACAATCTTCACTTTCCAGTCTCAATAGAGTCCAAAACTCCAATTCCCTTCATATTCCATTGGTGAGATGGGAATTCCATTCAAGCAGCTTCTTCTTACAAATGGCTACTTTGTGGAACTGACTCCAAAGAGGATGCTTCCATGATCACTACAATCATAACCAGTTCCAGTCTTGGGTTAACCATTATTTTCATATATCCACATAAACTGTGCCATTAAATCTGTAAACCCCTACCTTGAGTGGCCTTGTACAGGGTGAACAGTAGATGTAAATGAAAAAAAAAAAAAATTCACTTTCTGAGATCAATAGTTAAAAATGTATTTGGGCGAGTGAAACATGTATATCTTGATAAAGACCATTCCTCTTCAAACATTGTGGACTGGCATTGCAGAATCACAAACAAAGAATTATAAGAAAAAGTAACAGAAATTAGATCGATTTCGACAACAGCAACAAC